GTGTGGTAGATGTCAGTGTACATGTCCCTGGTGGTGTGGTAGATGTCAGTGTACATGTCCCTGGTGGTGTGGTAGATGTCACAGTTCATGTCCCTGGTGGTGTGGCAGATGTCACAGTTCATGTCCCTGGTGGTGTGACAGATGTCAGTGTACATGTCCCTGGTGGTGTGATAGATGTCACGGTACATGTCCCTGGTGGTGTGGTAGATGTCACGGTACATGGCCCTGGTGGTGTGGCAGATGTCACAGTACATGTCCCTAGGGGTGTGATAGATGTCAGTGTACATGTCCCTAGGGGTATGGTAGATGTCACAGTTCATGTCCCTGGTGGTGTGGCAGATGTCACAGTACATGTCCCTGGTGGTGTGATAGATGTCAGTGTACATGTCCCTGGTGGTGTGGTAGATGTCACAGTACATGGCCCTGGTGGTGTGGTAGATGTCAGTGTACATGTCCCTGGTGGTGTGGTAGATGTCAGTGTACATGTCCCTAGGGGTGTGGTAGATGTCAGTGTACATGTCCCTGGTGGTGTGGTAGATGTCAGTGTACATGTCCCTGGTGGTGTGGCAGATGTCACGGTACATGTCCCTGGTGGTGTGGTAGATGTCAGTGTACATGGCCCTGGTGGTGTGGCAGATGTCACAGTTCATGTCCCTGGTGGTGTGGCAGATGTCACAGTACATGTCCCTGGTGGTGTGGTAGATGTCACGGTACATGTCCCTGGTGGTGTGGTAGATGTCACAGTACATGTCCCTAGGGGTGTGGTAGATGTCACAGTACATGTCCCTGGTGGTGTGGTAGATGTCACAGTTCATGTCCCTAGGGGTGTGGTAGATGTCAGTGTACATGTCCCTAGGGGTGTGGTAGATGTCAGTGTACATGTCCCTAGGGGTGTGGTAGATGTCAGTGTACATGTCCCTAAGGATTGTGGTAGAAGTCAATGTCCCTGGTGGTGTGGTAGATGTCACAGTACATGTCCCTAGTGGTGTGGTAGATGTCACGGTACATGTCCCTAGGGGTGTGATAGATGTCAGTGTACATGTCCCTAGGGGTGTGGTAGATGTCACAGTACATGTCCCTAGGAGTGTGGTAGATGTCAGTGTACATGTCCCTGGTGGTGTGGTAGATGTCAGTGTACATGTCCCTAGGGGTGTGGTAGATGTCATAGTACATGTCCCTAGGGGTGTGATAGATGTCAGTGTACATGTCCCTGGTGGTGTGGTAGATGTCACGGTACATGTCCCTGGTGTTGTGGTAGATGTCAGTGTACATGTCCCTAAGGGTGTGGTAGATGCCATGGTACATGTCCCTAGGGGTGTGATAGATGTCACAGTACATGTCCCTAAGGGTATGGTAGATGTCACAGTACATGTCCCTGGTGTTGTGGTAGATGTCAGTGTACATGTCCCTGGTGGTGTGGTAGATGTCACAGTACATGTCCCTAGGGGTGTGGTAGATGTCACAGTACATGTCCCTGGTGGTGTGATAGATGTCAGTGTACATGTCCCTAGGGGTGTGGTAGATGTCAGTGTACATGTCCCTGGTGGTGTGATAGATGTCACAGTACATGTCCCTTGTGGTGTGGTAGATGTCAGTGTACATGTCCCTAAGGGTGTGGTAGATGTCACAGTACATGTCCCTGGTGGTGTGGTAGATGTCAGTGTACATGTCCCTAGGGGTGTAGTAGATGTCACGGTACATGTCCCTAAGGGTGTGGTAGATGTCAGTGTACATGTCCCTAAGGGTGTGGTAGATGTCACAGTTCATGTCCCTGGTGGTGTGGTAGATGTCAGTGTACATGTCCCTAAGTGTGTGGTAGATGTCACAGTACATGTCCCTAGGGGTGTGATAGATGTCAGTGTACATGTCCCTGGTGTTGTGGTAGATGTCAGTGTACATGGCCCTGGTGGTGTTATAGATGTCAGTGTACATGTCCCTGGTGTTGTGGTAGATGTCAGTGTACATGTCCCTGGTGGTGTGATAGATGTCAGTGTACATGTCCCTGGTGGTGTGGTAGATGTCACAGTACATGTCCCTAGGGGTGTGGTAGATGTCACAGTACATGTCCCTGGTGGTGTGATAGATGTCAGTGTACATGTCCCTAAGGGTATGGTAGATGTCACAGTACATGTCCCTGGTGGTGTGGTAGATGTCACAGTACATGTCCCTGGTGGTGTGGTAGATGTCACAGTTCATGTCCCTGGTGGTGTGGCAGATGTCACAGTACATGTCCCTAGTGGTGTGGTAGATGTCAGTGTACATGTCCCTGGTGGTGTGGCAGATGTCCGCGGTACATGTCCCTGGGTGGTGTGGCAGATGTCACAGTACATGTCCCTGGTGGTGTGGTAGATGTCAGTGGTACATGTCCCTGGTGGTGTGGTAGATGTCACAGTACATGTCCCTAGGGGTGTGGTAGATGTCACAGTACATGTCCCTGGTGGTGTGGTAGATGTCACAGTTCATGTCCCTAGGGGTGTGGTAGATGTCAGTGTACATGTCCCTGGGGGTGTGGTAGATGTCAGTGTACATGTCCCTAGGGGTGTGGTAGATGTCACTGTACATGTCCCTAGGGTGTGGTAGATGTCACAGTACATGTCCCTGGTGGTGTGGTAGATGTCACAGTACATGTCCCTAGTGGTGTGGTAGATGTCAGTGTACATGTCCCTAGGGTGTGATAGATGTCAGTGTACATGTCCCTAGGGGTGTGGTAGATGTCACAGTACATGTCCCTAGGGTGTGGTAGATGTCAGTGTACATGTCCCTAGTGGTGTGGTAGATGTCACGGTACATGTCCCTGGTGTTGTGGTAGATGTCAGTGTACATGTCCCTAGGGGTGTGGTAGATGTCACAGTACATGTCCCTGGTGGTGTGATAGATGTCAGTGTACATGTCCCTGGTGGTGTGGTAGATGTCACGGTACATGTCCCTGGTGGTGTGGTAGATGTCAGTGTACATGTCCCTAAGGGTGTGGTAGATGTCATGGTACATGTCCCTAGGGGTGTGATAGATGTCACAGTACATGTCCCTAAGGGTATGGTAGATGTCACAGTACATGTCCCTGGTGTTGTGGTAGATGTCAGTGTACATGTCCCTGGTGGTGTGGTAGATGTCACAGTACATGTCCCTAAAAGGGGTGTGGTAGATGTCACAGATGTCCCTGGTGGTGTGATAGATGTCAGTGTACATGTCCCTAGGGGTGTGGTAGATGTCAGTGTACATGTCCCTGGTGGTGTGATAGATGTCAGTGTACATGTCCCTGGTGGTGTGGTAGATGTCAGTGTACATGTCCCTAAGGGTGTGGTAGATGTCACAGTACATGTCCCTGGTGGTGTGGTAGATGTCAGTGTACATGTCCCTAGTGGTGTGACAGATGTCAGTGTACATGTCCCTGGTGGTGTGGTAGATGTCAGTGTACATGTCCCTAATGGGTGTGGTAGATGTCACAGTTCATGTCCCTGGTGGTGTGGTAGATGTCAGTGTACATGTCCCTAAGTGTGTGGTAGATGTCACAGTACATGTCCCTAGGGGTGTGATAGATGTCAGTGTACATGTCCCTGGTGTTGTGGTAGATGTCAGTGTACATGGCCCTGGTGGTGTTATAGATGTCAGTGTACATGTCCCTGGTGTTGTGGTAGATGTCAGTGTACATGTCCCTGGTGGTGTGATAGATGTCAGTGTACATGTCCGTCGTGGTGTGGTAGAAGTCACAGTACATGTCCCTAGGGGTGTGGTAGATGTCACAGTACATGTCCCTGGTGGTGTGATAGATGTCAGTGTACATGTCCCTAAGGGTATGGTAGATGTCACATTACATGTCCCTAGGTGGTGTGGTAGATGTCACAGTACATGTCCCTGGTGGTGTGGTAGATGTCACAGTTCATGTCCCTGGTGGTGTCAGTGGTCAGATGTCACAGTTCATGTCCCTGGTGGTGTGAGTAGATGTCACAGTGTCATGTCCCTGGTGGTGTGGTAGATGTCAGTGTACATGTCCCTAATGGTGTAGTAGATGTCACGAGTACATGTCCCTGGTGGTGTGGTAGATGTCAGTGTACATGTCCCTAAGTGGTGTGGTAGATGTCACAGTGTCATGTCCCTGGTGGTGGTAGATGTCAGTGTACATGTCCCTAAGTGGTGTGGTAGATGTCACAGTTCATGTCCCTGGTGGTGTGACAGATGTCACAGTACATGTCCCTGGTGGTGTGATAGATGTCAGTGTACATGTCCCTGGTGGTTATTGGTAGATGTCCCTAGCGGTACATGTCCCTGGTGGTGTGGCAGATGTCACAGTACATGTCCCTAGGGGTGTGATAGATGTCAGTGTACATGTCCCTAGGGGTGTGGTAGATGTCACAGTTCATGTCCCTGGTGGTGTGGCAGATGTCACAGTACATGTCCCTGGTGGTGTGATAGATGTCAGTGTACATGTCCCTAAGGGTATGGTAGATGTCACAGTACATGGCCCTGGTGGTGTGGTAGATGTCAGTGTACATGTCCCTGGTGGTGTGGTAGATGTCAGTGTACATGTCCCTAGGGGTGTGGTAGATGTCACAGTACATGTCCCTAGGGGTGTGGTAGATGTCACGGTACATGTCCCTGGTGTTGTGGTAGATGTCAGTGTACATGTCCCTAAGGGTGTGGTAGATGTCACAGTACATGGCCCTGGTGGTGTGGTAGATGTCAGTGTACATGTCCCTAGTGGTGTGGTAGATGTCACAGTACATGTCCCTAGGGGTGTGGCAGATGTCACAGTACATGTCCCTAGGGGTGTGGTAGATGTCAGTGTACATGTCCCAAAGGGTGTGGTAGATGTCACAGTACATGGCCCTGGTGGTGTGATAGATGTCACAGTACATGGCCCTTGTGGTGTGGTAGATGTCAGTGTACATGTCCCTAGGGGTGTGGTAGATGTCACAGTACATGTCCCTAGGGGTGTGGTAGAAGTCACAGTACATGTCCCTGGTGTTGTGGTAGATGTCACTGTATGGGTTCCTCTGTTTCAGCGAGTCAACTCAGCCTACACTGGAGGCTCCTTGTGCCTGATGTCGCTGTCCGACAACACATACTTGCTGCACCCTACAGGGGAACACTTCAACAGGATCAGTATCCTGCACCAGCTGAGGCATGGCTTCTGTATCAATGTTGCCAGGAGCATCAGAAAATCATTTGAAAAATCCCTTATCTGAAGTTGTTCGGTTGTAATACATCTTGGCATCTTTCCTCAAGTCTGTGTACACAGCTGGTACAAGTAAATTGGTCAGGGAGTTGCACATGGGATGCAAGAACACAAAACTAATATTCGCATCAACATTGTGTATTATTTAGTGACTTTGGGCATTACAGTTGATACAGTTACTTTAGCTTCTGATGAAGAATTGACATAGAGTTGACAAGTGGAGTTTATGGCTTGTGAGCCTTGACGTTGCAAATGAGAGTTAAGGTCAAGGAGTTGTAGAAATTTACTGAGAGTATGTAAACATTGTTCACTCAGATCTTAGCATTGAGAGGGATTATGTGGAATTTGATCTTTAGAACATTAGATTAACAATAAATTGTCTTAATTATTGGACCGCCATGGATATAATGACTGAAACCAATTCTAATAATCTAATTTATAATTACATTTCAAACAGTTTCAAACCCATGCATGCTCATGAGTTTAGGACAAAACATCTTATATATTTCTCACTGTTTTCAAGGGAAAAAAATAAAAATAGATTTAAACATTAAAATATTTCAAATCTGTACTAGATAAACATTTCCAGGTATGGAAGTCATTCCTATGACATGAAAACATAGGACAAAGTCAGGCAGTACAATGGATGTGTCAAAATAAGCATAAATTCAATAACTTGAATATATTTAATTAGAATATAACGATGACTAGGGTGGGGTGACCTCCAAATTGGCCAGGATCAAATCATAAATTGGACTTAAACCTTATGAGATTTGTGATTTTTACGTTGTATATCATAACAAATTTCCAGTCAGTAATAAGAAACTATCTCAACATCTATGATATGTGACTGCACCTATGCCTGGCACCTGCCCTGTAAAACTGACAGACAAAGAGATAGATGCTCATGGTCACTTGAAGCAGATTTCAGATTACTCATGCCAATGACATGATGAATTGACATTAAAGGTCAAGCTCAATCTTTTGACAACATGATAACTTGATTTCTTGTTAGAATTTGAACATATAATGTACATGATCTCTTTGTGGGTCTTATTCTTCAAAGATTCTCCATGACATCATCTTCCCAACTCGAAGTTGTTGTCTGAGTTTACAAGTCAGACAGGTATTTTCTAAATCTTGCCATATTTTCAATCAAGGTGCTAAAGTGATTTTATGCACTTCAATGGTGCCACTATTTTCTTTGATACAAATGCAGTGTCTATGTTGTCTCCACACATATGACTGAACCCATCAAGCTGCGGCAGCACATACTTGTTCCCACCATTGATGACAGCCCAAGTTGTTCATAGGCGTGGTATCTGATTTTCAGTATGGTTGCCATGGCAGTTGTTTTCACTTTTTTCTGACCATAGCCTTAAATTTTCTCAAAGACATAGAGGCTCTGCAAACTTCTCTGAAATTGACCAATTGGGGAAGCTGAAGTTTGGCATATTATGCATTATATTTGGTTCATAATACTTCAGTGTTAGTTTCAAGTCCTCAGTATTTATGAAAATATTTGAATCCAAATGCTGACTGCACCATTTGTGTTCGTTAATCATTCACTATAAATGTTGTTGAGCAGTGGCACTACATATCCCATGGCACTATTTTGTAAAGTTGTACTGCATTGGGTATATGTTTTCACATAGCGAAAGTCATGTTAGTAAGCTGGAAGTGGTTTGTTATTATGTTACCAAGAGACAGTTTTAGTTATTATGGTATAGCTTGTTCACAAGAAGTGTTATAAATGTATCCGGTATTACAATATCAACATTCCTGCTACTGACTGAGTAGATTATATATTATGTCCTTCACAAGATTGTCTTCTTTAATGCACAAAGTGATCCTGGCATGTCATAGCACACCTGCTGAAACAGTAAGCAAGTGTAGCAATGCTGCCCAAATTATGTAATATGCAGTTGCAATGTAATACCATATCTTACCTTTATGTAAAATACTTTAATTTATTTGGTCAATGACGCTTTAACAAGTTTCCGTGTCACCCCTCCTAGGAGGGAAGCCGAGAATCTCTAACAATCGTATGACGTCGTAATAGATGCATGCAGTGCCCGGAGTTCGAAAACCGTACGATTAGCGATTTTTGAGTTCCTTATGTACACATTTATTTTACCCACTTTCACTGCTTTATTTAAGCGTATTTATGCATTGCATCATTTGCACACACAACCTAAACATAATTAACCATGTTTAAAGCAGTTTTAAGCTTGTCAGAATATGTTTTACTGATTTAAAAAATCCAGTCGACAGGCAGACGCCATTTTGTTTAATGTCATACAGTCGGTAGCGATTTTCAAAATACAATAAAATGATATTTTGTACATTTAACATGGTGGTAAGATAAATACGTTGTATGCTTGTCCCTCGGGTAATACAGTCTGATGTATGCCTCTTTGTAGCAGTGTTATCCCTCGCCTACCAGCTCAGGGGACACTGCTACAAAGAGGCGTACATCTGAGCGTATTACCCGAGGGACAAGCATACAACTTATAATAACAATGTACTTCCAACAGTACATAACAATATATGAGGTGACAAAGGTAAACATGTACAACATCCAAGTTGAAAGAGTGATATCAATATATAAACTTGAAAGAATCTTTATTTGAACATTGGTATGAATGCATTTTGAAGGATACATTCTACCAATTCTATTGCAATAGTTTCTCAGTAATGGTTTCTTTTCTGGCATTGTACATTTTCTTTTAAACACCTTGACAATTATGAAGATGTGACTGAGGTTTTGGATGCTGGTCATCAAGGATTCAAGCTGGGAAACACAGTATTGTATGAAGAACAAACCGCTTCCAAGGTGCTGGAAATGAGAACTTCTTATGTGAACAACATAGGTAAAATATGCATGCAGAATAATTGTGTGAGTGAATATTGTTTTACACTGCAGTTTGCTGTATTCCAGATTTAGTCAAGTCTGGGCCAGGCAGTGTTTTCCAGCATGATCCATGACACAGTTGTGTAAACCTCTCATCTTTCTCTCGTGGCAAAAATGGGATTCTGGCTCTCTGCCATTATGTGTTTGCCCCTTTCGCATGTACATCTGATCAGATTTAAAATCAATAAAGCCCTTTACATGGCATGAAATGTCTTTGTGTTTACCATGTTTAACTTCTGACTGTCACAGGTTTGTGCTGCACTCGTGGAGACACTGATTACACTGTGTACCGTGTGGCTGAGGCTGGAACTATTGTGGAACCCGTTCTATTGGAAAACAGACATCTGTTCGGGGAAACACCAACATCTGTCTGTCTCAGGTAGTGTGCAGTAGTAGGCTGTGTGGAACTAGGGCACATCAGGGAGGCACCAACATCTGTCTGTCTCAGGTAGTGTGCAGTAGTAGGCTGTGTGGAACTAGGGCACATCAGGGAAGCACCAACATCTGTCTGTCTCAGGTAGTGTGCAGTAGTAGGCTGTGTGGAACTAGGGCACATCAGGGAGGCACCAACATCTGTCTGTCTCAGGTAGTGTGCAGTAGTAGACTGTGTGGAACTAGGGCACATCAGGGAGGCACCAACATCTGTCTGTCTCAGGTAGTGTGCAGTAGTAGGCTGTGTGGAACTAGGGCACATGTCAGGGAGGCACCAACATCTGTCTGTCTCAGGTAGTGTGCAGTAGTAGGCTGTGTGGAACTAGGGCACATCAGGGAAGCACCAACATCTGTCTGTCTCAGGTAGTGTGCAGTAGTAGACTGTGTGGAACTAGGGCACATCAGGGAGGCACCAACATCTGTCTGTCTCAGGTAGTGTGCAGTAGTAGACTGTTTGGAACTAGGGCACATCAGGGAAGCACCAACATCTGTCTGTCTCAGGTAGTGTGCAGTAGTAGACTGTGTGGAACTAGGGCACATCAGGAGGCACCAACATCTGTCTGTCTCAGGTAGTGTGCAGTAGTAGACTGTGTGGAACTAGGGCACATCAGGGGAGGCACCAACATCTGTCTGTCTCAGGTAGTGTGCAGTAGTAGACTGTGTGGAACTAGGGCACATCAGGGAGGCACCAACATCTGTCTGTCTCAGGTAGTGTGCAGTAGTAGGCTGTGTGGAACTAGGGCACATGTCAGGGAGGCAGCAACATCTGTCTGTCTCAGGTAGTGTGCAGTAGTAGACTGTGTTGAACTAGGGCACATCAGGGAGGCAGCAACATCTGTCTGTCTCAGGTAGTGTGCAGTAGTAGACTGTGTGGAACTAGGGCACATCAGGGAGGCACCAACATCTGTCTGTCTCAGGTAGTGTGCAGTAGTAGGCTGTGTGGAACTAGGGCACATGTCAGGGAGGCACCAACATCTGTCTGTCTCAGGTAGTGTGCAGTAGTAGACTGTGTGGAACTAGGGCACATCAGGGAGGCACCAACATCTGTCTGTCTCAGGTAGTGTGCAGTAGTAGACTGTGTGGAACTAGGGCACATCAGGGAAGCACCAACATCTGTCTGTCTCAGGTAGTGTGCAGTAGTAGACTGTGTGGAACTAGGGCACATCAGGGAGGCACCAACATCTGTCTGTCTCAGGTAGTGTGCAGTAGTAGACTGTGTGGAACTAGGGCACATCAGGGAAGCACCAACATCTGTCTGTCTCAGGTAGTGTGCAGTAGTAGGCTGTGTGGAACTAGGGCACATCAGGGAAGCACCAACATCTGTCTGTCTCAGGTAGTGTGCAGTAGTAGACTGTGTGGAACTAGGGCACATGTCAGGGAGGCACCAACATCTGTCTGTCTAAGGTAGTGTGCAGTAGTAGGCTGTGTGGAACTAGGGCACATCAGGGAAGCACCAACATCTGTCTGTCTCAGGTAGTGTGCAGTAGTAGGCTGTGTGGAACTAGGTCACATGTCAGGGAGGCACCAACATCTGTCTGTCTCAGGTAGTGTGCAGTAGTAGACTGTGTGGAACTAGGGCACATCAGGGAGGCACCAACATCTGTCTGTCTCAGGTAGTGTGCAGTAGTAGGCTGTGTGGAACTAGGGCACATGTCAGGGAGGCAGCAACATCTGTCTGTCTCAGGTAGTGTGCAGTAGTAGACTGTGTGGAACTAGGGCACATCAGGGAGGCAGCAACATCTGTCTGTCTCAGGTAGTGTGCAGTAGTAGACTGTGTGGAACTAGGGCACATCAGGGAGACACCAACATCTGTCTGTCTCAGGTAGTGTGCAGTAGTAGACTGTGTGGAACTAGGGCACATGTCAGGGAGGCACCAACATCTGTCTGTCTCAGGTAGTGTGCAGTAGTAGACTGTGTGGAACTAGGGCACATCAGGGAGGCAGCAACATCTGTCTGTCTCAGGTAGTGTGCAGTAGTAGACTGTGTGGAACTAGGGCACATCAGGGAGGCACCAACATCTGTCTGTCTCAGGTAGTGTGCAGTAGTAGACTGTGTGGAACTAGGGCACATGTCAGGGAGGCACCAAGATCTGTCTGTCTCAGGTAGTGTGCAGTAGTAGGCTGTGTGGAACTAGGGCACATGTCAGGGAAGCACCAACATCTGTCTGTCTCAGGTAGTGTGCAGTAGTAGACTGTGTGGAACTAGGGCACATCAGGGAGGCAGCAACATCTGTCTGTCTCAGGTAGTGTGCAGTAGTAGACTGTGTGGAACTAGGGCACATCAGGGAAGCACCAACATCTGTCTGTCTCAGGTAGTGTGCAGTAGTAGGCTGTGTGGAACTAGGGCACATGTCAGGGAGGCACCAACATCTGTCTGTCTCAGGTAGTGTGCAGTAGTAGGCTGTGTGGAACTAGGGCACATCAGGGAGGCACCAACATCTGTCTGTCTCAGGTAGTGTGCAGTAGTAGACTGTGTGGAACTAGGGCACATCAGGGAAGCACCAACATCTGTCTGTCTCAGGTAGTGTGCAGTAGTAGACTGTGTGGAACTAGGGCACATCAGGGAGGCACCAACATCTGTCTGTCTCAGGTAGTGTGCAGTAGTAGGCTGTGTGGAACTAGGGCACATCAGGGAAGCACCAACATCTGTCTGTCTCAGGTAGTGTGCAGTAGTAGGCTGTGTGGAACTAGGGCACATCAGGGAAGCACCAACATCTGTCTGTCTCAGGTAGTGTGCAGTAGTAGACTGTGTGGAACTAGGGCACATCAGGAAAGCACCAACATCTGTCTGTCTCAGGTAGTGTGCAGTAGTAGGCTGTGTGGAACTAGGGCACATGTCAGGGAGGCACCAACATCTGTCTGTCTCAGGTAGTGTGCAGTAGTAGACTGTGTGGAACTAGGGCACATCAGGGAGGCACCAACATCTGTCTGTCTCAGGTAGTGTGCAGTAGTAGGCTGTGTGGAACTAGGGCACATGTCAGGGAGGCAGCAACATCTGTCTGTCTCAGGTAGTGTGCAGTAGTAGACTGTGTTGAACTAGGGCACATCAGGGAGGCAGCAACATCTGTCTGTCTCAGGTAGTGTGCAGTAGTAGACTGTGTGGAACTAGGGCACATCAGGGAGGCAGCAACATCTGTCTGTCTCAGGTAGTGTGCAGTAGTAGACTGTGTGGAACTAGGGCACATCAGGGAGGCACCAACATCTGTCTGTCTCAGGTAGTGTGCAGTAGTAGGCTGTGTGGAACTAGGGCACATCAGGGAGGCAGCAACATCTGTCTGTCTCAGGTAGTGTGCAGTAGTAGACTGTGTGGAACTAGGGCACATCAGGGAGGCAGCAACATCTGTCTGTCTCAGGTAGTGTGCAGTAGTAGACTGTGTGGAACTAGGGCACATCAGGGGAGGCAGCAACATCTGTCTGTCTCAGGTAGTGTGCAGTAGTAGACTGTGTGGAACTAGGGCTCATTAGGGAGGCACCAACATCTGTCTGTCTCAGGTTGTGTGCAGTAGTAGACTGTGTGGAACTAGGGCACATCAGGGAGGCAGCAACATCTGTCTGTCTCAGGTAGTGTGCAGTAGTAGACTGTGTGGAACTAGGGCACATCAGGGAAGCACCAACATCTGTCTGTCTCAGGGAGTGTGCAGTAGTAGACTGTGTGGAACTAGGGCACATCAGGGAGGCACCAACATCTGTCTGTCTCAGGTAGTGTGCAGTAGTAGGCTGTGTGGAACTAGGGCACATGTCAGGGAAGCACCAACATCTGTCTGTCTCAGGTAGTGTGCAGTAGTAGACTGTGTGGAACTAGGGCACATCAGGGAGGCAGCAACATCTGTCTGTCTCAGGTAGTGTGCAGTAGTAGACTGTGTGGAACTAGGGCACATCAGGGAGGCAGCAACATCTGTCTGTCTCAGGTAGTGTGCAGTAGTAGGCTGTGTGGAACTAGGGCACATCAGGGAGGCAGCAACATCTGTCTGTCTCAGGTAGTGTGCAGTAGTAGACTGTGTGGAACTAGGGCACATCAGGGAGGCAGCAACATCTGTCTGTCTCAGGTAGTGTGCAGTAGTAGACTGTGTGGAACTAGGGCACGCATCAGGGAGGCAGCAACATCTGTCTGTCTCAGGTAGTGTGCAGTAGTAGACTGTGTGGAACTAGGGCTCATTAGGGAGGCACCAACATCTGTCTGTCTCAGGTTGTGTGCAGTAGTAGACTGTGTGGAACTAGGGCACATCAGGGAGGCACCAACATCTGTCTGTCTCAGGTAGTGTGCAGTAGTAGACTGTGTGGAACTAGGGCACATCAGGGAAGCACCAACATCTGTCTGTCTCAGGTAGTGTGCAGTAGTAGACTGTGTGGAACTAGGGCACATCAGGGAAGCACCAACATCTGTCTGTCTCAGGTAGTGTGCAGTAGTAGACTGTGTGGAACTAGGGCACATGTCAGGGAGGCACCAACATCTGTCTGTCTCAGGTAGTGTGCAGTAGTAGACTGTGTTGAACTAGGGCACATCAGGGAGGCACCAACATCTGTCTGTCTCAGGTAGTGTGCAGTAGTAGGCTGTGTGGAACTAGGGCACATCAGGGAGGCACCAACATCTGTCTGTCTCAGGTAGTGTGCAGTAGTAGACTGTGTGGAACTAGGGCACATGTCAGGGAGGCACCAACATCTATCTGTCTCAGGTAGTGTGCAGTAGTAGACTGTGTTGAACTAGGGCACATCAGGGAGGCACCAACATCTGTCTGTCTCAGGTAGTGTGCAGTAGTAGACTGTGTGGAACTAGGGCACATCAGGGAGACACCAACATCTGTCTGTCTCAGGTAGTGTGCAGTAGTAGACTGTGTGGAACTAGGGCACATCAGGGAAGCAGCAACATCTGTCTGTCTCAGGTAGTGTGCAGTAGTAGACTGTGTGGAACTAGGGCACATCAGGGAAGCAGCAACATCTGTCTGTCTCAGGTAGTGTGCAGTAGTAGACTGTGTGGAACTAGGGCACATCAGGGAAGCAGCAACATCTGTCTGTCTCAGGTAGTGTGCAGTAGTAGACTGTGTGGAACTAGGGCACATCAGGGAGGCACCAACATCTGTCTGTCTCAGGTAGTGTGCAGTAGTAGACTGTGTGGAACTAGGGCACATCAGGGAGGCAGCAACATCTGTCTGTCTCAGGTAGTGTGCAGTAGTAGACTGTGTGGAACTAGGGCACATCAGGGAAGCACCAACATCTGTCTGTCTCAGGTAGTGTGCAGTAGTAGACTGTGTGGAACTAGGGCACATCAGGGAGGCACCAACATCTGTCTGTCTCAGGTAGTGTGCAGTAGTAGGCTGTGTGGAACTAGGGCACATCAGGGAGGCACCAACATCTGTCTGTCTCAGGTAGTGTGCAGTAGTAGACTGTGTGGAACTAGGGCACATCAGGGAGGCACCAACATCTGTCTGTCTCAGGTAGTGTGCAGTAGTAGGCTGTGTGGAACTAGGGCACATCAGGGAAGGCACCAACATCTGTCTGTCTCAGGTAGTGTGCAGTAGTAGACTGTGTGGAACTAGGGCACATCAGGGAGGCACCAACATCTGTCTGTCTCAGGTAGTGTGCAGTAGTAGACTGTGTGGAACTAGGGCACATCAGGGAAGCACCAACATCTGTCTGTCTCAGGTAGTGTGCAGTAGTAGACTGTGTGGAACTAGGGCACATGTTCAACTGTTATAAGTGCTGGGGACGCTTCTCTGTACACAGGAAGTTGATTTTGTTGTTTAGCTGAACACAGGTCAAATGTTGTTGGCACTAAAATGGTTACAGGCTACTGGAAAGTTGACTGAAACTGTTAGTTCAATCCTCTCTGTGATCAGTTTCATCATTATAGTAGGGTGTACACCAACCTAGAAACAGTCGCCATGGTGACATCTGACCTTTGCCCTATGCACTTCCACTGATTCAGTGAACATTGTCCTACGTCATTATGGAGCGATTGCATAGTGCAAAGATCAAAAGAAGTTAATGTGAAACCATTATTGTACCGTGATTATAACTCCCCAATGTGCTATTATTTTAGTTGTGTTGTTTTCCTCAATTAAATTTGATGTATCACCAAGTGGTATTTTTGACAAAAGCCATTTATACTTAAAATATGGCCTTTTAAGGCTTCATTCAGGGTGATTATAAGTTAACCGTGACAGAAGCTACTGTGAAGCAGCAGTGCCATTCTTAGATTAAGTCTCATTCACAATACAAACATGATGAAAACATGAATGTAAAATATTCATAATGAGATCCCAAAGTTGATGTAAAACCTAACTTGTGTGTTATAGCCCCTACATCTGTGGTGAGATGCTTGTCTCAACTGACACTGGCTGCCTTTATCTCTCTGTTCCTGGATGCAGGTAAAAATACCTATGTACAGATGCCTCACTTTCACTCTGCATAAACCCATGAAGGTCCGGGTTAGAATATTGATCATCAGTAACCCATGCTTGTCATAAGAGGCAACTAACAGGCTCGCTGACTTGGTTGACACATGTCATTGGTTCCCAATTCAAAGATCGATGCTTATGCTGTTGATCAGTGGATTGTCTGGTCCAGACTCTATTATTTACAGACTGCTGCCATATAGCTTGAATATTTCTGAGGGCGGCGTAAAACTAAACTCACTCACTCACTCTGCATAAACTTATAGCTTGGCTCCTGGGACTTGAACTTAGTGTGTATGATCCTAGCAGTGATGTCTCTAAAATGGTTGAGTGATTTCTGTGTTTCTGTGTAAAATGCTGTTTCTGCCCTCGTCTCCCTCTATGACATGAGAAAGAAATATGCCAGTACAACTCAAGTATGAGCACAGTACATTTTGTTTTTATTGTTCAGGCTTGAAAGCCCTTCTTCTCATGTAGAAAAGCCTTTACCTTAGCTGGTCCAGACTCGATTGTTTACAGACCGCCGCCATATAGCTGGAATATTGCTGAGTGCGTCGTAAAACTAAACTCACCTACTCACTCACACTATACTCAGCCTCATATTAGTCAACAAATTCCAGATGGCACACATAAAGTATAGCATAGGAGGCTGTAGTAAGTTAGTTATTTGTTGTGAAACATAAGGACAACAACTGACAACAGAGGCTGTGTATCAACTGACCAGTGTTTGGGATTCTAGTTTGCAGACTCTAGTATCCAAGCAACCCCTCCGATTCCAATCCACAGACCAATGGCGCCAGTGTCACTGGGGGGCACATCCACGCCAGGTCATATTAGCAGACCATACCAGTGTGCAGCTCTTTGACAGCAGGGTAAGGAACCTGAAAATGTTTTGTCACTTACCAGGAAATTGTGGATTCTACAGGGGTAATATTACACAGGATAAAGGAAACATACGAGAGAGTGATTTATTATCTATAAATTCAAGAATCAAGAGTGACCCTATTTCTTCATACCACTCAAAAATAAAGTTAGTCAGTACATCAAACTTCAAGAAATAAGTGAGGTATTATATCAGAATTCTGCTTACCACTCAAAAATAAAGTCAGTCTGTACATCAAACTTCAAGAAATAAGTGAGGTATTATATCAGAATTCTGCTTACCACTCAAGATTATGGTTAGTCAGTACATACAACTTCAAGAATAAAGTGAGGCATTTTATCAGAATTCTGCTTACCACTCAAGATTAAAGTTAGTCAGTACATCCAACTTCAAGAATAAAGTGAGGCATTTTATCAGAATTCTGCTTACCACTCAAGATTAAAGTTAGTCAGTACATCCAACTTCAAGAATTAAGTGAGGCATTATATCAGAATTCTGCTTACCACTCAAGATTAAAGTTAGTCAGTACATCCAACTTCAAGAATTAAGTGAGGCATTATATCAGAATTCTGCATACCACTCAAGATTAAAGTTAGTCAGTACATCCAACTTCAAGAATTAAGTGAGGCATTTTATCAGAATTCTGCTTACCACTCAAGATTAAAGTTAGTCAGTACATCCAACTTCAAGAATTAAGTGAGGCATTTTATCAGAATTCTGCATACCACTCAAGATTAAAGTTAGTCAGTACATCCAACTTCAAGAAATAAGTATGGCAGAATATCAAACTTCTGCATACCACTCAAGAATAGAGTAAGGTAATATGTCCAACTTCAAGAATAAAGAAAGTGAATATATCCATCTTCTTCATACCACTCAAAGATAACAGGAGTCCATGCTTCAAGTTTATATACAGCCACATTCCTACATGATGAATGTATTGCAGACCCAGTACAGTGAGGGACTTGACCTGCTAGCCCAGCCCACCAGGCTGCTGCACCAACAGGAGAGGATCATGGTGACCCAGCCCCATCCACACTGCCCATACTACCACTTCATAGCCACAGATTTCTCCTTGCTGATGATGGACCAGCGTCTTCCCAACTACCCTGTAAGACTCTCTACACTCATTCATTGCAGTCAGCTGGTATATACATGCCATTGTAGGTCAGCATCTCCTTGCTGATGATGGACCAGCGTCTTCCCAACTACCCTGTAAGACTCTCTACACTCATTCATTGCAGTCAGCTGGTATATACATGCCATTGTAGGTCAGCATCACCTTGCTGATGATGGACCAGTGTCTTCCCAACTACCCTGTAAGACTCTCTACACTCATTCATTGCAGTCAGCTGGTATATACATGCCATTGTAGGTCAGCATCACCTTGCTGATGATGGACCAGTGTCTCCCCAACTACCCTGTAAGACTGTCTTCACTCATTCATTGCAGTCAACTGGTATATACATGCCATTGTAGGTCAGCATCACCTTGCTGATGATGGACCAGTGTCTTCCCAACTACCCTGTAAGACTGTCTTCACTCATTCATTGCAGTCAACTGGTATATACATGCCATTGTAGGTCAGCATCACCTTGCTGATGATGGACCAGTGTCTTCCCAACTACCCTGTAAGACTCTCTACACTCATTTATTGCAGTCAGCTGGTATATACATGCCATTGTAGGTCAGCATCACCTTGCTGATGATGGACCAGTGTCTTCCCAACTACCCTGTAAGACTGTCTTCACTCATTCATTGCAGTCAACTGGTATATACATGCCATTGTAGGTCAGCATCACCTTGCTGATGATGGACCAGTGTCTTCCCAACTACCCTGTAAGACTGTCTTCACTCATTCATTGCAGTCAACTGGTATATACATGCCATTTTAGGTCAGCATCACCACGATGTGTTGACACAGTGGCCATAGGAATCATATTAACCTTTTAGGACACTGAGAAAACTTTCTGCCTACGTAATATGCCAGTAACATTACAAGGCACATGGTACATGGTACACATACCAGTGTGTTCAGGTTCATTTTTTACCAATCAATGAAATATGTTCATGTTCTTTTAAAGAACCACACTGAGTTTACCTTAGTTCTGAGTGTGAATGCTTCATTTAAATGACTGTTCACTCATAAATATGGTTTCCTACCATCTGTTACAAAGGTTTGTAGTTTTTCTAAACACCATCATTACTAAATGATGGAACCCTACATTCCTTCTGGTATATTTTGGTATTTATGTAGCAGAGTATGGTACATGTTCATATAATAAAACAGTAGTTTTCACGTTAATTATTCAAAGAATATCACATCAGGACTAACCCCATTCCTATACCTCCACCAGTATCTGCATATGCATATTAGGCTTTGGAAGCAAGATACCATCACTGCACAACTAATTACAGATTGCTGGAAGTGAAGTGGACCTCTGTTGAAAATACAAAGATTCTATAGTGTGATGACTGTTATGAATCACGATTTCCGGCAGTGATGTAATGAGGGTAATATGATGTGATGTCAGAAAAGGAGGCCAGTCATTTTATGTTTGTTCTTCTTTTTTGTTCCTCCTATATTATCTTAGTATCCAAGCCCATGTCTGGTGTCCCCCGCCGTGATATTGATGGAATATTGCTAAAAGCGGACTAAAACCATACTCACTCACTCACTCACTCACTCACTCACTCGCCACTCACTCCCACCACCACTCCTCCTCACTCACTCACTCACTCACTCACTCACTCACTCACTCACTCACTCACTCACTCACTCACTCACTCACTCACTCTTAGTATCCAAAGGGTAAAGTTCTGTGTTAAGTTATTTTTGGTTATATGTTTTACAAAATATTACATGGTATTTCATATATTATGCAATATGTTGGTTGATATGTGTGATCTATATAAACCATTCTGACACAGTCCTGCCATGGATGTGAGTGTGTGTAATGGTTTCCTCATGCCCCTGTGTGTTGCAGGTGATGGTTTGGCCTCACTCTCTACCTAGTGCCCCCCAGTATGTAGCTGTAGCCAACACCACTTCCAGCGACTCACTGGTGCTGGCAGCCACCCAGTCCCCACCAGAGACTCACTGCTTCCATGTGAAGTACGGTGAAGCCAAGCCGGTCCGCTCCCAGTACCAGCCATGGAGGCTGTCTACCATCAGGTCTCCACACCTCTCTTATATTAAAATTTTGTCATGCTTTGTTTCTCCCAAATCTGCTGTGTAACTGATACAAGGACTGAAATTGACAAAATGATCACCTTTATTTGATGCTGCGGACATTGAGCTGTAGCTGGTAATAATGAGGTTCTCTGCCTCCATCAGCACTACTACTACTGACTAGTCACCAAAGTCTGAAGGTGATGGAGGCTCTGCTTCATTTCAGTGCTGTGATGACGACGGAGTGTAAGAGAAGCCTGATGGGACAAGTGATTCAACGCCGACTTGATGCCTCACTAGCTGGAGTAGCTGCCACTCACACTGGGAGCAGTGCACACATGTACCAGGTAAACCTCACTAGCTGGAGTAGCTGCCACTCACACTGGGAGCAGTGTACACATGTACCAGGTAAACCTCACTAGCTGGAGTAGCTGCCACTCACACTGGGAGCAGTGTACACATGTACCAGGTAAACCTCACTAGGGGGAGTAGCTGCCACTCACACTGGGAGCAGTGCACACATGTACCAGGTAAACCTCACTAGCTGGAGTAGCTGCTACTCACACTGGGAGCAGTGTACACATGTAGCAGGTAAACCTCACTAGCTGGAGTAGCTGCCACTCACACTGGGAGCAGTGTACACATGTAGCAGGTAAACCTCACTAGGTGGAGTAGCTGCCACTCACACTGGGAGCAGTGTACACATGTACCAGGTAAACCTCACTAGGGGGTAGCTGCCACTCACACTGGGAGCAGTGTACACATGTAGCAGGTAAACCTCACTAGGTGGAGTAGCTGCCACTCACACTGGGAGCAGTTATACACATGTACCAGGTAAACCTCACTAGGTGGAGTAACTGCCACTCACACTGGGAGCAGTGTACACATGTACCAGGTAGCCTCAGTGGTTAAAGCGTGGCTGGTTACTCACACTGGGAGCCGGGTTGTTCCCACATGGGCACAATGTGTGAAGCCCATTTCTGGTGTCCCCCGCCGTGATGTTGCTGGAATATTGCTAAAAGCAGCGTAAAACCAAACTCAGTCAGTCAGTCACACTGGGAGCAGTGTACACATGTACCAGGTAAACCTCACTAGGGAAAGTAGCTGCCACTCACACTGGGAGCAGTGTACACATGTACCAGGTAAACCTCACTAGCTTGAGTAGCTGCCACTCACACTGGGAGCAGTGTACACATGTACCAGGTAAACCTCACTAGGGGGAGTAGCTGCCACTCACACTGGGAGCAGTGTACACATGTACCAGGTAAACCTCACTAGGGGGTGTAGCTGCCACTCACACTGGGAGCAGTGTACACATGTACCAGGTAACCTCACTAGGGGGAGTAGCTGCCACCCACACTGGGAGCAATGTACACATGTACCAGGTAAACCTCACTAGGGGGAGTAGCTGCCACTCACACTGGGAGCAGTGTACACATGTACCAGGTAAACCTCACTAGGGAGTAGCTGCCACTCACACTGGGAGCAGTGTACACATGTACCAGGTAAACCCTCACTGGGGGAGTAGCTGCCACTCACACTGGGAGCAGTGTACACATGTACCAGGTAAACCTCACTAGGGGGAGTAACTGCCACTCACACTGGGAGCAGTGTACACATGTACCAGGTAAACCTCACTAGCTGGAGTAGCTGCCACTCACACTGGGAGCAGTGTACACATGTACCAGGTAAACCTCACTAGGGGAGTAGCTGCCACTCACACTGGGAGCAGTGTACACATGTACCAGGTAAACCTCACTAGGGGAGTAGCTGCCACTCACACTGGGAGCAGTGTACACATGTACCAGGTAAACCTCACTAGGGGGTAGCTGCCACTCACACTGGGAGCAGTGTACACATGTACCAGGTAAAACCTCACTAGGGGAGTAGCTGCCACTCACACTGGGAGCAGTGTACACATGTACCAGGTAAACCTCACTGGGGGAGTAGCTGCCACTCACACTGGGAGCAGTGTACACATGTACCAGGTAAACCTCACTAGGGGGGAGTAGCTGCCACTCACACACTGGGAGCAGTGTTCACATGTACCAGGTAAACCTCACTAGCTGGAGTAGCTGCCACTCACACTGGGAGCAGTGTACACATGTACCAGGTAAACCTCACTAGGGGGAGTAGCTGCCACTCACACTGGGAGCAGTGTACACATGTACCAGGTAAACCTCACTAGGGGAGTAGCTGCCACTCACACTGGGAGCAGTGTACACGCATGTACTAGGTAAACCTCACTAGCTGGAGTAGCTGCCACTCACACTGGGAGCAGTGTACACATGTACCAGGTAAACCTCACTAGGGGGAGTAGCTGCCACTCACACTGGGAGCAGTGTACACATGTACCAGGTAAACCTCACTAGGGGGTGTAGCTGCCACTCACACTGGGAGCAGTGTACACATGTACCAGGTAACCTCACTAGGGGGAGTAGCTGCCACCCACACTGGGAGCAATGTACACATGTACCAGGTAAACCTCACTAGGGGAGTAGCTGCCACTCACACTGGGAGCAGTGTACACATGTACCAGGTAAACCTCACTAGGGGAGTAGCTGCCACTCACACTGGGAGCAGTGTACACATGTACCAGGTAAACCTCACTAGGGGAGTAGCTGCCACTCACACTGGGAGCAGTGACACATGTACCAGGTAAACCTCACTAGGGGAGTAACTGCCACTCACACTGGGAGCAGTGTACACATGTACCAGGTAAACCTCACTACTGGGGGGGAGTAGCTGCCACTCACACTGGGAGCAGTGTACACATGTACCAGGTAAACCTCACTAGCTGGAGTAGCTGCCACTCACACTGGGAGCAGTGTACACATGTACCAGGTAAACCTCACTAGGGGGAGTAGCTGCCACTCACACTGGGAGCAGTGTACACATGTACCAGGTAAACCTCACTAGGGGGAGTAGCTGCCACCCACACTGGGAGCAGTGTACACATGTACCAGGTAAACCTCACTAGGGGGAGTAACTGCCACTCACACTGGGAGCAGTGTACACATGTACCAGGTAAACCTCACTAGGGGGAGTAGCTGCCACTCACACTGGGAGCAGTGTACACATGTACCAGGTTAACCTCACTAGGGGGAGTAACTGCCACTCACACTGGGAGCAGTGTACACATGTACCAGGTAAACCTCACTAGGGGGAGTAGCTGCCACCCACACTGGGAGCAGTGTTCACATGTACCAGGTAAACCTCACTAGCTGGAGTAGCTGCCACTCACACTTGGAGAAGTGTACACATGTACCAGGTAAACCTCACTAGCTGGAGTAGCTGCTACTCACACTGGGAGCAGTGTACACATGTACCAGGTAAACCTCACTAGGGGGAGTAGCTGCCACTCACACTGGGAGCAGTGTACACATGTACCAGGTAAACCTCACTAGGTGGAGTAGCTGCCACTCACACTGGGAGCAGTGTACACATGTACCAGGTAAACCTCACTGGGGGAGTAGCTGCCACTCACACTGGGAGCAGTGTACACATGTACCAGGTAAACCTCACTAGAGGGAGTAACTGCCACTCACACTGGGAGCAGTGTACACATGTACCAGGTAAACCTCACTAGGGGGAGTAGCTGCCACTCACACTGGGAGCAGTGTACACATGTAGCAGGTAAACCTCACTAGCTGGAGTAGCTGCCACTCACACTTTGAGCAGTGTACACATGTACCAGGTAAACCTCACTAAATACTCTGTGTGCACTTCCTGTCCTTTCAACCTTCATTACAATTAGTGGCACCAGAGTGACAATGATGTCATGGCCAATGAAAATCAAAGTAAATACTAAAATTGGAAAACATATTATAATACCTCGACCACATCAGCTTAGTTAATCGAAATATTCGCATACATTGGAGAGCAATGGCAAAATGATTAATACATGGAAACCAAATTTGACTTAGAAAAACTTTGGTGGAGGTTGTTGGTAGAAAGAGTCGCTGTCCTACACCAGTGTGATATGAGAGAAAACTCGTTAAAACAGGCCCAGCCTTTCCACAGATGGCAGGCCAGTGTTCTGGTTAAGTGTGTCTGTTACCTCTTGGCTAGTCTAACCAACAACAGCCATATATTTCAGCTGTTGCAAGTAGAGATAGGGATATATACGACTTGAAAGAGACGTCTCTTTGTTTGACACACTTTTTCAAAGATACATGACCCTATGACTTCTCATAATCTCAATGCTTACCTTTGAAGTGGAAATAGCTTGCTCTTTCAGCATGCTCTTAAATATCTTCTCTGATACTGCGTGACTAATGAAGACAAAGTATGACTTGCAGCTTCTTCCATAAAGATGTCTTGTTAAAAACATTTTAGTTTTTTTGTGTGATTTAATGGTTATGAATATGTCCCTTTTACACTTAAATGAATCTTTCTGAAACTTGTTTCTGACCCCACAGGTTTAACTTGAATTTTTTTCTGTAGTATTGTCTGTCTTCCTTGTAGTCCTATCTGCAGGAGTTATCTCCCCTAACAGAAGTGCAGGGAAACCCAGGGGCACACATACACATGTGTTTACTTGTGTTCTGAAAATGTTCTCAAAAATTCTTACAAGGTTTGACCTCTTAATGGGTAAATCTAAGGGGGGCTCGAGTGCATTCCATTAGTTTGGGTGCAGAAATTTCTCAGTCTGTGGGAAATTAATGTCCCCTCAGGATTGTTTGGAGTGTGTTGACGCTCCTTACTCTTTCGTCTCACGTTCTGAGGCTTCTCAGTTGCTATCTCCCTCAGCTTTTGAGAAGTATGGTCATTAAAAAGGTCAAGAAAAAAGGATTTTGAAGAGACTGAGCTCCAGGACACCAGTGAAGGGCCTTGCAGACACTGAAATGATCACAGACAATCAGTCAGACTCAGGGGAACTGGGCATCCCTCCTGTCCTATCTGATCCTGTCACGCCTCATCTTTTGACCCCCATAGGCTGTTAAATCCAAGTTTGTTACTGATAAAGCCTTGTCAGCAGCTTTGAAGCCTTTTGGAGATGATGATGAAATGTCTATCGAATCGAATTTCTCAAGATAGAAGCGACGTCCATGATCGTCTTCCTCCTCAAGGGCACCAGGTTGGAGTCTAAGACCCCACCGGCTGCTACTGTCCCCCCTGCTGTGGCATACCCTGACTTTGATCTTACAAACCGCACATGTATTTGACAAGTCTTCATCTAGTAGAAGTCATGGACTGCACAGACCACACAGTCCACGTGGATCACATGGTCTGTAGGATTCCTGGTGATCTTGCTGGAGGACATCATAGCAGAGACAACGGGATCATCCGACAGTGCTTCAGCCAGGCAAACGCCATTGCGCCATTCACACTAAAAAAATATGCAATGGCACTTTTTTACAATGCTAGAGAGCCCATTGGCGCAACATTTGATATAATCCACAGGTCTTCTATACCATGATTACCATGAATGGCAAAAGTCGCAACTGCATTGGCCCACATTTTAGTGGTTAAGGTGCCACTGGCAACACTCAAACAAATTCTGGCTGAAACACTGGATCGAAGATAACAGTACAGCCACAAGCTGCACGGATTACACTGGGTGCTGAGACCAAACGGACTGCAGATACAGTTTTCATAACAATGCAGTCAGCACATGATCAAGAGTGAAGCTCCACAGTACACATTTGCAGCTTGGACCTCATGGCCATACATTCCAAGATATGGCAAGATATACATTTGATACGACTATTAATAGGCAATCTTCTCACAGTTATAAGGAAGATTTTACTGATGCTTTGAAGGATCCAGATTTTACATATATTGAATTAAGAACAGAATCTTTAGACCACAGATCAGCCAGATACACATTTGTGGACAAGTTGGCTGCACTAGATGTCCTATTACCGGAAACAATGCTGCCTCTACCTGATCAAGAGGACTTAAAAAATGCAGGGACCAGAGCCTCCTTTCTTCCACACAAGAGGTAGCGGATGTTACCTTAGTCATCCTTCCAGTGTAAGATTATCAAGGATTTGAATGACGATTGCCTTCACTCAAGTATCCAGACCATTTGGGCCATACTTCTCTTCAGGGAAAAGATTCTTATGCGACTGATAACAGAGTGTTACCAGTCAAATCACCTTCACTTTAGAAGGACTTCAAGGATCTGCAGTTAAAATACCTGAAGATTTATCCATCAAGGAAGGAAAATCGGGATTTTGATGAAAGAGTCTGGCTTGTAAACAATATTCAAGGACTAAACTATTGGTTTTCTCAGGAATTTGGAAGATGCTGTGTTCGCTCATTATGATCCATCATTCATAAACATGGAGACTACACAAGACACTATTCAGATATTCCACAGCCATCTAGACAGCACGGCAAAGGGCCAAAATTGACTTGACTCACCTCAAACTTCCCAGACAAAAGTAGCATGAACCTCGACCTTAGACAACGATCATGCACGGAAGATGCCTGTATTTCCTATGCAGGTGTTTCAGGGTCCAGGGGGCAGACATTTGTCAGCTTTGGCAGAGGACTGGAAGATCATAACGACTGATCGATGGATCCTCAAAGTTATCAAGAAAGGATATTGCCTGCAATTCACCAAGAGGCCCCCTTGATGACACACACAGTAGGACATCGGTATCAGCTCTGGGAACCCACGTTTTTCAGTGACAGCCATACACAAGCTCTTGAACAAGAGGGCTTTCATCGATTTTGGTGACCTTCACCTAATTTTCAAGGTCATGGCGACACTCTGAAGATTTCAGCATGTTAAACTGCATGTTAAGCTTGTCAGCGAGATACCTCAAGAACCGTTCACTGGCTTTCTTCATATTGGACATCAAGCCTCATCGAGGGAAGGCGCAGGGCCCAGTCGATTTTGGTGACCTTCCCTTAATTTTCAAGGTCACGGCGACACTTTAAATATTTCAGCATGTTAACCTGCATGTAAAGATTGTCAGCGAGATATCTCAAGAACCATTCACTGGACTTTCTTCATATTTGACACCAAGCTTCATCTAGGGAAGGTGCAAGTTCCAGTCGATTTTGGTGACCTTCACATAATTGTCAAGGTCACAGCGATACTTTGAAGATTTCAGCATCTTAAAGATTGTTAAGATTGTCAGCGAGATATCTCAAGAACAGTTCACTGGATTTTCTTCATAGACTTTCAAGACTTCCCTTGAATGTTTTTCAATAAGCAATTTCTTTATTACTATTTTTGCATACTTCATACACTAAGACATTCATGTCAAGGTCAAAGTGAGTCTTGAAAATATTTGTGCGTTTGAACAACTACTGAGCAAGATTTTAAGAGAGGTTGACTGGTCATGTTTCTGTTTACATTTAACTTCATCTTAAATTACGACCTTCACTTTCATTACTTTTTAAGTTTGATTTGATCATTTGCGGCGGGGGATTATGTCACCTTAGTGACTGCTTGTTCAAGCTAAACCTATGGTTTCAGAACAAGTTTCAGGAAATAGGCATTCAAGTGTTAGTTGTAGTATTCTGAGAATTATTATCATATTGATAATGTTCCAATTTTTACAAAAGTAAAATCTTGTTCTTGCCTTCGCACCTTCGCACCTGGCTTAAACATTTTGTGAGTGTAATGACCATAAAAAGATCCCGGGTATGAAGTTCTTTAATTCACTATAAATATTTGTATGAAAATAAGGTTGATATGTCATCAAATTATAAGTTATATCAAATAAGCTTTAGAGCCTTAGTTTTAGGTCACCCTTTACACTCAACTAACCAATTTACATGTGAAATCAGGGGTAGAACTTTAAAGTGAAAGCATTACTAGTACCAGTAAATATTAAAACATTGGGGAAATGGAAACACTTACACTTGCCTGTCAGAATTTGAACAAGCTTTCTTGTAGTGGGCTAGTGTTATGTTATAACTCTTCAAATGAATGATGAAAATTTTCAGATACAGCGAGTATTTCACAATTGATCCAGAGTCCAGTATATTACAATTTTCAGCTCATCTGACTGAAAGTTCAGTGAGCTTATGTCATAGTTTATTGTGTGGTTTTCTGTCCATCCATCGATCCATCTTTAAGTTCATCATATTTTACATCTCTTCTTAAAGACAAGGCCTTTGCAGATGAGCGAGTGAATGAGTGAGTGAGTTTGGTTTAGCTCACGGTATTCAAGGTATTCAGCATGTCTGCTAAATGTGCTAAAAGTGATGCAGGTCTCAGATGTTTATCTTGTTGGTGAAATTCACAAGCCTGGGTATTGCTGACAAACCAACAAACATAACTGGTTAGTGTTAGTAGCTTTAGATATGCACTGTATAGCTAGGGATAAAATCTGATTGTTAACTGTTGTATACAATATATATTCTATACCGTTGGTTGTGTTAGTAGCTTTAGATATGCATCATATAGCTAGGGATAAAATCTGATTGTTAACTGTTGTATACAATATATATTCTATACTGTTGGTTGTGTTAGTAGCTTTAGATATGCATCATATAGCTAGGGATGAAATCTGATTGTTAACTGTTGTATACAATATATATTCTATACCGTTGGTTGTGTTAGTAGCTTTAGATATGCACCATATAGCTAGGGATGAAATCTGATTGTTAACTGTTGTATACAATATATATTCTATACAATATATATTCTATACTGTTGGTTGTGTTAGTAGCTTTAGATATACTGCAGATATGCATATAGCTAGGGATGAAATCTGATTGTTAACTGTTGTATACAATATATATTCTATACTGTTGGTTGTGTTAGTAGCTTTAGATATGCATCATATAGCTAGGGATGAAATCTGATTGTTAACTGTTGTATACAATATATATTCTATACTGTTGGTTGTGTTAGTAGCTTTAGATATGCATCATATAGCTAGGGATGAAATCTGCTTGTTAACTGTTGTATACAATATATATTCTATACCGTTGGTTGTGTTAGTAGCTTTAGATATGCATCATATAGCTAGGGATGAAATCCGATTGTTAACTGTTGTATACAATATATATTCTATACTGTTGGTTGTATTAGTAGCTTTAGATATGCATCATATAGCTAGGGATGAAATCTGATTGTTAACTGTTGTATACAATATATATTCTATACTGTTGGTTGTGTTAGTAGCTTTAGATATGCATCATATAGCTAGGGATGAAATCTGATTGTTAACTGTTGTATACAATATATATTCTATACTGTTGGTTGTGTTAGTAGCTTTAGATATGCATCATATAGCTAGGATGAAATCTGATTGTTAACTGTTGTATACAATATATATTCTATACTGTTGGTTGTGTTAGTAGCTTTAGATATGCATCATATAGCTAGGGGATGAAATCTGATTGTTAACTGTTGTATACAATATATATTCTATACCGTTGGTTGTATTAGTAGCTTTAGATATGCATCATATAGCTAGGGATGAAATCCGATTGTTAACTGTTGTATACAGTATATATTCTATACTGTTTGTTGTATTAGTAGCTTTAGATATGCATCATATAGCTAGGGATGAAATCTGATTGTTAACTAACTGTTGTATACAATATATATATAGCTAGGGATGAAATCTATACTGTTGTATACAGTTATATTCTATACTGGTTGTGTTAGTAGCTTTAGATATGCACCATATAGCTAGGGATGAAATCTGATTGTTAACTGTTGTATACAATATATATTCTATACTGTTGGTTGTGTTAGTAGCTTTAGATATGCACCATATAGCTAGGGATGAAATCTGCTTGTTAACTGTTGTATACAATATATATTCTATACCGTTGGTTGTGTTAGTAGCTTTAGATATGCACCGTATAGCTGGGGATGAAATCTGATTGTTAACTGTTGTATACAATATATATTCTATACTGTTGGTTGTGTTAGTAGCTTTAGATATGCACCGTATAGCTAGGGATGAAATCTGATTGTTAACTGCTGTCTTGTAAGTAGTTTGTGAAATTTCATCTGCCTTTTTCTCCAATTGATGAGGTAAAGTTTTGACATATATGTTTCTAAATTCAGCTAACCATACATGGGGAGGTGTTCTATCAGGTATACAGTGAGAAAGGCCACTCCTCGGACAAAACTTGCAGTTATGCCCACAGGAGACCTGAGGTCTCAGCAGTGGTAAAGGAGGTGACCGGGCTGGATAGAGTCACAACCCCAGAGGACCAGTACTTTACTTCCGATGAAGTGGCTTGCTGGCTTTTACAGGCTCAGCTGGATAGAGTCTACAACCCCAGAGGACCAGTTACTTTACTTCCGATGTCTCCCATTTTCTTATTGGTAAGTTGAAAATGAATAAAAGATTATTGGCTGTCTCCAAACTTTCTTGTAAAATGATACAGCTAGACTTTACTGACAAGTTAAATGTATATACTGTAGATCACAAATTTTTAGCTGAGCATGATATTTTTGGCGCTGACAACACCAGCGTTGGCGGCGTCAACAATGGCAGGGAAGTGTTGTTTTCTGATGAGTCCAGATTCAGCTTGAAAATTGCGTTACTGTTGTGTTGTGGAAGCTGACTTGAACTCATGGTATGGGGTGGCTTCAGCTACCACCACAGAACCTGCGGTTACCGTGCGTGTTCGAATCAGCGATATAACTGCTGTAGTCTACAGAGAACTTCACCCGCGTATCATGATGCACTTTGCTGGTCAAGGAACAACATTGCGTACATATAAACAATCTACAAATAATGTGTCTCATTATCTCTTATTATTCACCAGTTCATATTATCAACAACAGATGCAGACGATACATGAATTAAGCCTTGGCAATAACTTCGGGGAAGACTAATTACTATAGCATTGCTTGTACTCACATGTCCCATGTCAAACAAGGAATACCAAAGTTAGTCAATCAGTATGTCTGATAGTCCAGACAGGCGCCAACCACGTAACACACATTCATTGTCTTTAAAGACCGCTTGATAGGCCGACACCATCCAACGGGCGTGGATAGGTTTCATCACTCTTGTCCAGAGATGAACAACTTTGGTGATGTCATTATCATAATGCTTTGCTCCTGAGTCCAACAAGTTAATATTGGCATTCCAATTAATATTATCACTTTGAACTGTTTTGAGTTTATCTGGCCTATGAACTGCGTGTGTTGTTTTTAGGAAAACATCACTGACTGCATACACACGGAAGTACTCTACTGAGCTCATTTCAAGATTAGCTGCAACCTTTAATATGTTATTGTATTTACTTTAGGTAGAACTTTCTTTCAGTTGCAATTTATTTTTGAGAATTGGGCAAGTCGCAAAAATATCATTACGAAAAAACGTCTGTTGTTTGCCACTCGCAAAAATATTTACGGTACTTCAATTGTCATATGTTGGTTCAGCATGCAGCGTAGATGTTGAACTGACTACTTGTCTTCTTGTGCCAACATCAACTGTGACCGTAACTCCCATACTTTATCACAGACTCAAGGCAGTCTTAGCACTAAGGTGACCGTAACTCCCATACTTTATCACAGACTCAAGGCAGTCTTAGCGCTACGGTGACCGTAAATCCCATACCTTATCACAGACTCAAGGCAGTCTTAGCACTAAGGTGACCGTAACTCCCACACCTTATCACAGACTCAAGGCACTCTTAGCGCTAAGGTGACCGTAACTCCCATACCTTATCACAGACTCAAGGCAGTCTTAGCTCTAAGGTGACCGTAACTCCCATACCTTATCACAGACTCAAGGCAGTCTTAGCGCTACGGTGACCGTAACTCTCACACCTTATCACAGACTCAAGGCAGTCTTAGCGCTACGGTGACCGTAACTCCCATACCTTATCACAGACTCAAGGCAGTCTTAGCGCTAAGGTGACCGTAACTCCCATACTTTATCACAGACTCAAGGCAGTCTTAGCGCTACGGTTTTTTGTACAACGGCACCCTGAGGCAGAGTGGCCACTACTATCCCTGCTTAGTTTCTGAGGCAGAGCAGCCACCACTATCCCCACCCAGCTTCTGATTTGAAGTCTTGCTATGTTCCAGAGGGGGCTGCAGTGATCCCTCATGTGCTGTGTCCACTGTGTATGGCGACCACCTGCTCCCTGGTTGGCTCCAGTGTGGAGGTGGACAGTGACAGCACCAACAAGGCCAGCGCCTGCAGCAGCTGTGGTCATGACCTGGACAATGCTCACAGTATAATACATCACTTAGGAAAGGTGGGTATGTTGAAGTGACTAAACACTGTTCTTACTGCTGATGATCAGTTATCTTGACTACATATCCAGCTAAGCTACAGTATTTTAGCACTAATTGATTTGATTTTTTAAGAGTAATTTTAAGATGAAATATATCAATTTGCTGACTGTTTTCTGGTGTCCTTAACAATAAAGCCTTCCTTCAAGTGCATGGTTGAAAGTTGAAACTAATGTTCATCTGGAATTACTGTGTTCACTCAGTAAATGTGTTTAGGAGACAGAAACATGTAACAGTTATACATCAAATATCAACTTCAAGATCTTTCAGACAGACTGGTTTGGAAATATGTGCAGTTTTATGTATGATTGTGCGACATAGAACTACAATTTCCCACTTTACCCATTGGAACATTCTCAGATGATATAGATACACAGTACCCCTGCTTGTTGTACAAATGGAGTATGATATAAAGTAGGGAAACTTTCTTTTTTATTTACGAATGAAAAATTGAAAAAAATTAAGAGATATATCGAAGTCAGTCAATGTTGCAATGATGATAATGAATGTTTTGAGAGTGCATCACTACTTCCTTATGACCATAGTTGTTTGCACAGTAATCACATGCTTGATGGGCATTTAGAAGTTGGATGGTAACACAACAACGTATGGTATGGATTTACAACTTCTTTATTATTTACAACACAATGTTTCTGGGCTACTTCTTGCCCCTTCATCGGGTGAATGACAATATGATTTACAGATAAAATATACATGTATAGTGCATACAGGAGGCTAGTGAGATGGAATTAAAGATTTCAGGTTTTGTGCGGTGGATCCAGATGGCCTCCATCAATTTTCTTTTTTGAATTCATCGCTCCATCTGTCTTCTTGTCACTGGGTCAAATTTTCTCAAAAACTATTGTAGTTAACATAGTGATGGAGCTGGTCAAGATGTCAAACTGAGTTTGCGAATTGGTGTCTTAACTCAATATTTCATAGCCCTGTTTGTCGTTGCTGCAGACATTTTAACTTTGTGTATACTGTGTGAAATGGGGGCAAGTTTTCTCAGAAATAACTGAAGTTAAATGACTGAAACTAGGCAAGCTTGTCTAAGTGATACTTATCAAGACACAGTTTGAAATTTGGTGCCATAATTGTTTTTGCCAGAGTTACTTCGCTTGCTATATGTTTTTAGATAAAGTTAGTAGATGTAAAGACACTTTGTACCTCCAGAGTGTCTGCATGACAGCAGGTTCTTTGTTCTCCAGACGTGTTGAATACAAAAACATTACTGATGTGGAATTTGACATATCTGTTGAAATGTGACAGATGAGAGTCTGATTTTCAGTCGTCATTCTCTAATTCTTCTACTGCCAGGATAGACAAGACTGCACCAAAAGAAAGATTCTGCTGGCAGTGAAACACATAATTAATTGGGATAGCAAGTCAGCATAAAAAAGTTGGAGATGATCCCTTTCCAGCATCTTCCTTCCTGTTTTATATGTGCTTACATTATCCCTGCGGATGAAAGCGTGAGCCAAACAAATCCCTAGCATTAGGAATATGATCACTGATCTCAAACCCGACCTCTTAGATCCATGAGCATATGCATAGGACCAGGATGCTCAAGCTATCTCATGTGAAGATTTGTGGGCTTATTATATCTATCCTCTAACAGCCCATTTCCCTCAGTTGTCCCACATCAAAGCCACCAACAAGTTCTGCCTGGCTTTGATCGCACTTTTTTAGCTGGCGAGGAGCTGGTTCACCACTCTGGTACACATAGATGATCAGAACCTTGAGAGCTACCTGAAAGCAAAGATCTTCATCAGTCTACCAGATATCAGGGTGTGGCTTTTACTGGCATTGTACGTTAATCTGTAATCATATGCATACTCAGTTCACAGATCAGATCATTAATATAGACAAGAAAGAGCCACAAAGAGAGCACCTGTCCTTGTCCGACACCTTGCTCAAAGGGAAAACTATTTTTTCGCCTAATATCAAGTCTTTCATAACATATTTTATTCTATTTCGTATGGTACTTTGAGCATATGTTTTTATGGAATCTAGCGCTATACAAAACCACATTATTATTATTATACTCATGGAAACTAATAAGGGAACATATGTACTTTCAGGTGCTCCCTTATTCGTTTCCATGAGTATATTATGATACTTCACCATAGTAGGTGAATTATGCACAATACGCACATTGAGAGAAGATTTCCCATCTTCTCCTTAATTACCGGGTCATAGTTTTGCAAAAGGTCACCATGCCAAATGCCATGAAATGCTTTTTCATGTCCAGGAAGGCTTCATAGATAGGTGATTTCCTAGATACCAGTAGATAATAGAATACATTCATTCACAGATACAACGGCACCATGCTCTTTTCAAAGTCGGAACTATAGATGATCTGGAAAGGATGGACAGTGAATCTTACACCCTTCTTTCAATCTCTGTAAATTACCTTTTCAGTCAGTATAAAAGCAATTTGTGAGATAGACTAAATCTTTAAAAAAGAAACAAAAGTTAAAAATTCATGATTTTCACATTTTCATCTTTTTCTCTGTTGTAAAGTAAATTCGTACAATTTCAGAGCAACGCGTTACGGGAAAGTAGTGTTAAAGAGGATGTCTTCAATGCCAGTGTTCCTCAGTTGGAGGATATGCCTCAAACCAGCAGCAACACACAGCTCCTTATGAAGATGTGGTTAGGAATGGAAGGAGGCATAGATGAATGTGTACAGAAGCGGGTAAGGCAATGAAAAACACAAGAGAGGTATTACACTTGACAAGAGGGTGTTACATATAGACAAGAGAGGTATTACACTTGACAAGAGGGAGTTACATATAGACAAGAGAGGTATTACACTTGACAAGAGGGTGTTACATATAGACAAGAGAGGTATTACACTTGACAAGAGGGTGTTACATATAGACAAGAGAGGTATTACACTTGACAAGAGGGTGTTACATATAGACAAGAGAGGTATTACACTTGACAAGAGGGTGTTACATATAGACAAGAGAGGTATTACACTTGACAAGAGGTGTTACATATAGACAAGAGAGGTATTACACTTGACTTGACAAGACAAGAGTGTTACATACAAGACATAGAGAGAGTATTACACTTGACAAGAGGGTGTTACATATAGACAAGAGAGGTACATATAGACAAGAGAGGTATTACACTTGACAAGAGGTGTTACATATAGACAAGAGAGGTATTACACTTGTGTTACATATAGACAAGAGAGGTATTACACAGACATATAGACAAGAGAGGTATTACACTTGACAAGAGGGTGTTACATATAGACAAGAGAGGTATTACACTTGACAAGAGACAAGAGGGTATTACACTTGACTGTTACATATAGACAAGAGAGGTATTACACTTGACAAGAGGGTGTTACATATAGACAAGAGAGGTATTACACTTGACAAGAGGGTGTTACATATAGACAAGAGAGGTATTACACTTGACAAGAGGGTGTTACATATAGACAAGAGAGGTATTACACTTGACAAGAGAGTGTTACACTTGACAGAGGGTGTTACATATAGACAAGAGGTATTACACTTGACAAGAGGGTGTTACATATAGACAAGAGAGGTATTACACTTGACAAGAGGGTGTTACATATAGACAAGAGAGGTATTACACTTGACAAGAGGGTGTTACATATAAAGACAAGAGAGGTATTACACTTGACAAGAGGGTGTTACATATAGACAAGAGAGGTATTACACTTGACAAGAGGGTGTTACATATAGACAAGAGAGGTATTACACTTGACAAGAGGGTGTTACATATAGACAAGAGAGGTATTACACTTGACAAGAGGGTGTTACATATAGACAAGAGAGGTATTACTTGACTTACATATATAGACAAGAGAGGTGTTGACCAGAGAGTGCTATACATATAGACAAGAGAGGTATTACACTTGACACAAGAGAGGGTGTTACATATAGACAAGAGAGGTATTACACTTGACAAGAGGGTGTTACATATAGACAAGAGAGGCATTACACTTGACAAGAGAGTGTTACATATAGACAAGAGAGGCATTACACTTGACAAGAGAGTGTTACATATAGACAAGAGAGAGGTATTACACTTGACAAGAGAGTGTTACATATAGACAAGAGAGGTATTACACAAGAGAGGGTGTTACATATAGACAAGAGAGAGGTATTACACAAGAGGTGTTGACAAGAGAGGTATGTTACATACATATAGACAAGAGGTTATTACACTTGACAAGAGGGTGTTACATATAGACAAGAGAGGTATTACACTTGACAAGAGGGTGTTACATATAGACAAGAGAGGGTATTATTACACTTGACAAGAGAGGTGTTACATATAGACAAGAGAGGTATTACACTTGACATATAGACAAGAGAGAATAGACCAGAGTGTTACATATAGACAAGAGAGGTATTACACTTGACAGAGAGTGTTACATACAAGAGAGAGACAAGAGAGGTATTGACACATTAGTCAAGACCAGAGAGTGTTACATATAGACAAGAGAGGTATTACACTTGACAAGAGAGTGTGTTACATATAGACAAGAGAGGTATTACACTTGACAAGAGAGTGTTACATATAGACAAGAGAGGTATTACACTTGACAAGAGGGTGTTACATATAGACAAGAGAGGTATTACACTTGACAAGAGAGTGTTACATATAGACAAGAGAGGTATTACACTTGACAAGAGAGTGTTACATATAGACAAGAGAGGTATTACACTTGACAAGAGAGTGTTACATATAGACAAGAGAGGTATTACACTTGACAAGAGAGTGTTACATATAGACAAGAGAGGTATTACACTTGACAAGAGAGTGTTACATATAGACAAGAGAGGTATTACACTTGACAAGAGGGTGTTACATATAGACAACAGAGGTATTACACTTGACAAGAGAGTGTTACATATAGACAAGAGAGGTTTTACACT